AGGAGCAAGGACCATGTTCGTGCTCCAGGATCCAGAACAAACCTGGCATTTGAACCTTCTCTGCTCTGGAAAGTGTAGGGGACGCACCAGCAAGCAGAATTGGGGCAGTAGGTGTTGAGCTGGGTAGCAGCTTTCTCCCCTACTCTGTGAATTGTTTGGGGAAGAGACTTCCATGCAAAAGGTTAAGAAGATGCAGAGGGGCTTTGCTTATACAGACAGGCTTTGCTCATTTTGAGTATTTCATTCATTTATCAGATTCCCTGAGGAACGAGCAAAACCTACAACATATCTAGACTAAGGCAAGTGCCTGGAGCAAGGCATGAGATTCACAGGAGTTAACACATTGCTGCTAGCAGACTCAAGAGCTGCTTGCTAGCCCAACAGGCTATTTTTACACTTGCAAGGGCATTGCAGTAAAACATCTTCCTCTTTTGTGACCCCAAACCTCCACCTGCACAAGCAGGACATGTGCAGGCCACTGCCAAGTTACAGGAGAACCATTTCACAGGAAACTGGAGTCTTCTGGAAACTTCCGTTTGAACACCCCCACCCCTTCTTTTTTTTGCCCTTGACCCATCTCTTGTGCGAGAGGCTGCTGGCCAAGGCAGTGTGTGTTCCCCAAGCCAAGCCACACCAGCCAGCACAGGGTACGCCCAGGGTGGCACTGTACACCCTCATGCAGGAGGTGCTGCCAGTCCTTGCTTAAATGACATCAATACAGCACTGCAGGTGTACAAGCCAACCCAGGAGGTGGTGGAGCAACCTGTCCAGATCTAGCCTATAACTAAGGGGTCAGGGAACAGGGTGAAAAATGAGGTCTAGTGTATACATATGATGAAAGGTTGACAGTTATTTCACTGTGTACTTCAGTGTGAAAACCACAGTGACAATACTGGAATGTGGTTTTTGTCAGCATAAATACTTCACAACAGTTGGAGGGGCCTTTTACATGCATGAGAAATCCTGTGATTTGGGGGCTGCACAATTTACAGAAGACAGGTCCTGAAAGTACTGAGAAAAATCCTGTTCTGCCAGACAAGCTGCAGCAGAAGGAGATGAAGTTACTTGCACAGGTAACTTGCCTCAAGACAAACAGTAGAGGAGCACCTGTCCCAGCTAGGAGAGCTCACCCATGCACACGCTCAGGGCTCTGTCCTCATACTGCATAATTTGGCTCCTGGGGAGTGTTTTGAGTAGGGCACACATTCAACATGCAACCTCCTTTGCAACTGCATAGTATCTCCATGGACACCAGGAGCCACTTTTAAGGAAGATTTCAACCCCTGTAGTGCACAGTACTAACTGGGGCATGGACAAACAGCACAACGGCCAGCATATTTTTAGGAGTCACCTTTAAATGTATCTGTCTGGCTTTCCAGGTCCCTAACTTGGGAACTGCACTATAAACAGACCTTGCCACACACCCTCACCCACCCACCTTGGTGCAAAGGCTGAGCAGCACCCTGTGAGCTCATGCCTGGTTTCTCTGTGGTAGGGAAGTGCCTTCGCCTCTGAAGTCGCTTCGCACCAGCCCCAAGTCTGACAAAGGTGACAAGAAAGATAGGATGCAGCTGGGGAATCCAGAGACACAACAGCTTTCCACACTCAGAGACTTCTTTGAGTGGAGAGTTTTCTTATGGCTGAGGAAATTAATGCATCCATCAGAAATGAAGCAAATGCTGATTAAGAGGTTCTTCCTCTTCCCGTTACAACCTCTGCAGCTCCAGAGGGAATTTCCTGCCCAGTTGCAATTCTGAGAACTCATCTCACACTCTCAGCACATGAGTGAATGGGAAGGAGCACCAGCCTGAGAACTGGCAGCTGCCGGAAAAGGTCATACATAACATGTGCCAAAAATGACAGTATCATGATGGGGCATGTGGTAACATGGCCCCAGTCCTCAGACCAGGTTGTCCCTGTGACTGGAGCAGGTCCATTTCCCTGCCCAGGTGATTCCTCCCCATCCTTGCGCTTTGCATCCATCACAGCAGTCTACAGCTCAGCCCTGGTGCCCCATGATCCCCTCACTAACAGGCTGGGCTTTAAGGAAAAGGAGCCAACCAGTCTCAAAACTCCCAATTAAATAGTGGGACCTGGCAATACTCTCATTGCCAGACAGGAGAAAAAAGCTATAAGCTGGAAGCATCCTTCCTTTCTCGCCACATGTGGACTACAGCCACAACTGGGCCTCATATTTCTGTGCAGAAGGGATATGACCTTTCCCATGTCAAGGGTGTTCACAAGGTTTAGACAAAAGCACATTAATAATCAGGTTCCCTTTGCTGCACTTCTTCAAGTTTGGACACCAAAACCAAATACCACTTAGTTTTCTTGCTTGTAGGCTGTTTTTGACAAGGACTGGAATCTGTGGTGTCCACCATGTGGAAGGCTTCCCTTGCTGTTAATAATGCAACCACAAAATGGTAAAATCTCCCTCCAGGTAGATGCATTTATACTTGGATAAAAGTGCTAAGCATGCTATAGCTTTTTCCTGATCCAGTGCTAAGCTATTCAGGTGTAAAATATTATGATCCTAATATGGCCAAAAACCTGAATTAAAAAATATATAGAACAGTTATGCTACTAAAACTTTTCAGGTGCAGACAAAAATAACCATGTGCAACACCTAACAACAACTTTGTGGGGCCCTCTAGACTCTGAACACTGTCATATATTGTGTCAACACAGGACGCTTCCAGTAGTAATTATGTGTTTCACACATACCCTCTCATGAGAGTAGCTAGAGCATTGAAATCTTGTGCTTATTGCCAGCCAATTTCACTCCATGTTTGCCCTAGCCCAGGGCTGGAGCACTTGGCTTGTGTGCATTTCAGGGGATGTTGTATTCTTGTTCAAAAAGTTTGCTGTCACTGTGTTCTTTTATTTATTATATTTTGGTAACACAGTCATTTCTGTTGGCCTCAAGCATTTGTTGAACACAAGGGGGTAAACTGAGCATAGAAATAGCAGCTTCAGAGTCGCCTTTAGGAACCTTGTTTTCTGACATTGAACATTTTTCTCACTACAAATCTAATACATCTCAAAGCACTTCGAGTTGCAGCTGTACACAGACATCAGCATGGCAGCTTTTTTCCTTTCCCAAACTAGTTTTTTTTTTTTAAATAAGCCTCTGGGTAGTAAGAGAGCATTCAGCTGCGTACAAAGCAATGGAGCTTAATGGCAGAAAAAAAGGAGGGTGTGATGGTATATGGGCAGCAGAGCTGGAGGTGAGAGAGTAATAACTTTGTCCCCAGAATTCCTCTAGCTAACAGTGCTATTGAATTCATGCTAAGGCACCTTGAAATTATGTTTCTGCTAACGTAATTTAAATCTGCTCACTGCAGCTGGGAGCTGAGATGGTGAGCTCAGGCTGGTGCCATGGGTAGAGCATGGCAGCATGTTGCACATCAAGCACACAGCAACAACCACAGCAGTGCATACTACCCCATCCTGGCACTGTCTCAGTGCAAGAAATATGGACCTCCTTCCCTGAGGGAATTTATGGCTTTCCTTCTCACCAGCCCTGCTCACAACCCTCTGGCTTTCCCTGAAAAATGGGAGCAGGCACCAGGTGCACGATGAGTGCTTGAAATGCTACAAGAAAACTGGGTGCACCCCACAAACTCTCTATCCCACTGTGGTGAGAGGCAAGATGGGAAACAGTATGATGAATCTCCCAGCCAGGGGATGAAGGATGCCTTCTGTTGAATGATACGAGTTCTGGAGCAATAAAATACTAACTAAATACAAGAGCAATGTGGTGAGGAAAAGGGGCCAATTAAACTCCCTGTCTTTGAATTGTGGCTGGTGTCAATCAGCAAACTCCAGTGACTGCTACAGCAAAAAGTCAGTTCACCTCAGTTGGTATCTGGCCCAACATGGTTGTTGCAGAGACACAGGAGGACCAGCACCTTTGAGAGCTGATAAGGCAGCTGGACTAGGTCTCCTCTGCCAGCTCCCTTCCTGCCTGGCTTTTTCGTGGCATTTGTAAACAGGGCTGTAGCACTCACTCTGTGGTCTCTTCAGGGCCACTGATCCTGTGGACAGCTGAAGTCCACAGAATTAGGCTGGTTTAACCGGTGGAGCAGCACCTGCCAGTGCTTGAGTCAGGTGGGAGGGTGACGCAGGGACTGGTGCTCTCTTAGCAAGCAGAGACCCCATATGTGTTATGGGGCTACTGGCTGTAGGGAGTTTGTGTTGCTTAAACCCAGCCTAGGAGTAATTTCCCACTATTTTCCCAGGGCAGCACTCTGGTGAGCACAGCCATGCTCAGGGCATGCCAGACTCGTCATGCCTGGCCTGTGTATTTGGAGTTCACTCCAGTGGGGTGACACCGCAAACCTGCCCATGGAAGCTTGCGTTCAGGACAGTCCTGCCACTTCCCCCTCACCCCTCTTACCCGTAGTCTGCAGCCCCAGCTACAACCACGGTAGAGTTTTGCATTATAAAGATGTTATTTAAACAGAAAAAGAAAAAAAAATCAAAAGAAAAAATAGAAAAAACAACCACCAAACCCACTCCCTCTCCTCTCCACCCAAAACATTCCAGCCTTTCCTTTCTTGCCACTTGAGAGGGGGGTTGTTTATTGACATTATGCAAGTGCTGAAATATTTTTCTTCTCTCCCGTCCCCTTTTTCCTTTCTCCTCCTCTGTCCTCTGGGGGTTGCAAAGGTAGTTCAAACCCCTCCAGTCATCTCGGCTTATCAGCCAAAGGAGATGCATTCCTCTGGGCTGCTCCCTTTATAAGTCACTGCTGGCGGGGCTCCCACTCGCCGCTCCGCAGCCTCCACGCTGGCAGCGCTGCCTGCTGCCCGCTGCCCCGCCATGCCCTAGCCCGGGCCCCCGGCCCCTTTCGCCCACCGGGGGACGCGCAGCAGCCCGGGGGAGGGCCGGCGGCGATGGCACCCCCGTTCCTCGCCCGCCTCTGAGGGCGGCTGCTGCCGTGATGTTCAGTTGGCACCGGAGCTTCACCCTGGGAGAGCCGTGGAGGAGAGGTGAGTCCGCGCCCCCCGGGGCTGCCCCGGCCCGCCCGGGGCCAGCCGGCGCTGCCGGCACACCTCCCCAAACCCGCTCCTCCGCCACCCCGTTCCTTCCCCTCAGCGGCCGCGCAGACGGTACTTAGGACAAACCCAGTCCGGCCCGCCCCGCTCCCGGGCCCCGCCGAACGGGCCGCCCGCTCCCGGCCCCATGCTGCGCTCGCTGCTCTCCGGCTGCCTCTGCCCACACGCAGGTAAGGCTGCAACCAGTCCGTCCCCGCGCCTTAAGCGGAATTGTTTTCCTCTTAAAAATGGGTTTATTTTGCATTTATAAGATTTGGGAGAGAACAGCAGGAGAGGCGGGAGCACTGCGATCCCGAGTGGGCTGTGAGTGAAGGAAGGCGAACTGCCCGGGATGGGAGCAGGAAGAGTGAAAACGGGGCTCGGCATCCGAGCAGCTGCGCGCACGCTGGCCCGCACGCATCGCTCGGGCTCTGCGCTAACGTGAGGCGGGTCGGATCTGTCCCCAGTCTGACACTGCGCTGGCAGCGCACATGTCATCGCTTTCTGGGCGCGTATATCCGCATCCAACAGGGATTATCCCCAGTTTAAGGTGTATGGTTTGCATCCTCCTTTTCTGTGCACATGAGATGACCCAAGTAGAGAAGGCAGCAGATAGCTTGTAACTTTCCAAGTCTGTTGAAACAAACTATGTGGTCTCAGTCTGCCTTTCTCAGGCACAATAGGTCTGGTATGTTTTACTCCTTAGCCAGGGCTGCAGGCTGAGATTGCAAAGTCCCAGGTAGCAGAAACCCTTTAGCCTCCCTATTTACCCTTCAGCTTAGCTTGTGCCAGATGTAAATGAGATCTGCAGTTTCTGTCTCCATTAACATCACTGCACTGGTTGGTTTACTTGGCACAGGGGTGTCCACTCAGGGTTTGCCAGAGTCTGAGTGTAGCCTGCTGTACAAGAGCAGAATGGTAAAGATGTTGTAAAACACCGTGGTGGTGTGGTTATGCCTCCTGGGGTCCTGACTTCCCGTCAGCATGCTGAACTCTGCAGGAACTGCTTGTATTGCCCTAGTTCAAGGAGACAGGACTCACCAGGGCTGCCATGTTCCTCGGCATCTGCGTGCCCATGTGCTCAGGCACTCGCTGCTGGTATTATGCTTCCCAGCTCTCCTGCTCTGGGGCAGCTCCTCAGAGCTCAGTGTGAGCTGGAGCCTCTCTGAGGTGTGGCAGCAGGTATCTGCTGGGCACTGATGTAGCAAGGCTGCTGAAGCACCTTTCTCTGCCTGGGTCTGGTCTGGAGACTGCATTTTTACCCAACGACACAAAGGACTCTGGAGCAGTGCTGCTGCGAGAGCACTCCACCATCACCACAAGACATGGGGAGTGTTGGAAGAGATGCCATTTTACAGAATGATAGAAACTGCTCGCTATTCCCCCCCCCCCCCCCCCCCCCCGGGATGTAATCTGACCATGAACTTTGTTTCCCCCAGGCTATATACCGCTAGCCTGATGGCAGGTTAAGAGGGGAAAGGAAGCTTGCTCTTCCACATGGAAGTGTCCCTCATTACACAGGCACAGCAGTATTGTCATAGGGGTAGGTGGAAGCTTTTGGTGGGGGAAGAGACATATCACTCAGAGCACTGAGGAATCAAAAAGAGATGCAGCTAAAATTTCTCCAGGTAAGAAACAGGGACAGCACTCCTTAATCACCTTGGCTGGAAAGAGGTACCAAATGTTGTGTCCTGGTTTGGACCTTGTCTGTATTCAGAAAGAGCCAAGAATATGCTGTTTTGTGCGAGTTTTGTGGCAGGGACTTTACAGTTGCATCTCGAGATAGAGAATATAAACCAAACAAAACTTTTTTAGAATGGCATCTCAATAACAGAGATATAAGCTGATCTTCCCCCCCCCCCCCCCCCGGGGGCTTTAAGAGCAGAAGTATCAGGTAGCAGGACCTTCTATCAAGAAGTTTAGTTTACTGGAGCTACAGAGCCCTAGATCACCACCTCCTCCTTGTTATCTCAGCAAGGTCCTTGTGTGGCCCCAGCAAGAGCAACAAACTCCCAGATTGTCACCACTCTCATTTCAACCATAAAAGATTTCAGACATACAAAGAGTATTCTTACTCCTGCCCACTGCTGCCTCATTTAGCAGAGCTAGCACTCCAAGTTTTTGCCTAGGGACAGTAACAACTGCACATGAAGAATGGGTTAACAGTGACCTTTCTGATATGATTCATGAGTTCCTTTAGCTTCAGTGGAAGCACTGGGGTCTTAATGGCTTTAGTCTGTGGGGCTATTGAGCAGTTGTTTATCCAGGCTTATTATAGGCAATAAAACCTGAATTACTACATACCTGTCATCACTGGGGGGCAAGTTCCATTCCTGCAAAGGGCTTCCAGTCTCCTAGTTTGTTACTGGCTGAATACTGCTTTAGAATATGAGGCAGCCTGCAAATCAGATGTGCAAAGAAAGAGCTCCTAAATTAGACAGTTTTGCCAAGGTGTGGTGTATTTGTTTCTATTGTTTTAATTTTCTGCTCAGACACACTAATGAGTTGCAAGCCAAATAATCTTTCGGTATTATACAGGGCTGCCCATGAAAGCACCATTTCCTCTATTTGAGGTTTTGAACCTTTCTCCCAAAGAAGCACATGGGAATTTACATGGAGAAGAATTTGCAGGTCTTCAGTGAAAGCTGTCATCTCCCTGACAGAGTCTCACAAATAAGCACCACAGGTGATGGTGAGAAGTGAGCTTCCTCCTGACCCCAGGAATGGTTACGCTGTAGAGTAGGGAAGACTTGGGCACAGATCCTCGTGCACCAAAATCATCCTTGGCCTGGTTTTCCCACTGGGCAATATATCCAAAGAAACTAGATGGTGTTTAAGGTCCCTTCCAACCCAAACCATTCTGTGATTCTGTGAAATAAGTTGCAGGATAAAGGCAGTAACAGGTGGAAAGGCTCTTTAGCGATGCGCAAGGTCAGGCATTGGTCTGAAAACTGGTGACTGGCAGCTACCCAAGTTATCTTATAAAGCAGGTGGTCTGTGGGGACCTGCTGTGCCACCTTCTGCCAGAGGTCAGTAATCTGTCAGACCTGTCGGTCTGTTTCAAAAACTTCACAGGTCACTTGGAATGAATAGGAGCAAGCTGTAAAAATGTCAAGTGGCCTCTCTACTTGGAAATCCATTTCCTCTTTAGTCCACCCAACTATATCCATCAGTAAACAATCAATCTCCCTCTCATTCCTTCTCAAATGCCTGGAAAGAGCTATAATTATCTCCTCCTCTTCTAAAACATATGTATTAAAGCAATGAATACCTCTCCAGTCAGAGTCCTTGAACCCTGTTATCTTTCAGCATCTATTTTATGGGTCTGTTTTATGGACTTACCATTATCAGCTGCGGCTATGGGAGATTTATAACGTTTCTGGTCACCTTATATCACTAAACTATCATCCAGAGGAACTTCACACCCTTAACTAACAGTATGACTGGAGAGCACCTTGGAGCAAACCAATCTAAGAACTTTGTGCTTTTTTGTTTAAGGACTGCCTGAGATCTCAGTTTTATTGTGGTTATTCCTTTGCATTCAGCATTTCAAACAAATCGAACTGTACACATATTCTCATGAAATCCATGTGCATTTCAGTTCCCCAGTTGGATAAACTGAGATTTCAAGAATTTGATCTATCATACAAATGTAGTTACCACATGGGAGTTTGCTCCTCTGCAAATGTGGATTTTTCAGTCACAATTCCAGTAAACCCAAATATTTCTAAGACACTGATTTTCTTGCCTTCAGAAGTTTCTACCATTGCAGATAGAGGCTGTAAGTGGTGCACCAAACACACTTCCATAAGCTCCCCTTAGAAATTCTTTGGCTCACAATTGTCCTAATTGTTTATGAGAAGCCATTGCTCAGGTTGGGCAGCACAAATTACAGCAGCATGCTCACATACTAGCTTTGCATGAAAGGCACTGGGAAGGCAGATGAATTGCAGATACTTTGGGCCAGGCAGCACCCCTGCCTTCGCCAGGCCTGGGGTCTGGTCTTGAACAGGTCTCTAAAGCATCAGGGAGCAAGGGAGATCCTCACCCCATGGAAGTCCATGGCAAAGCTCTGTGGAAATAGATTTTCCTCCCAGACCATCAGTTGGTAGTGGTTGCAGGGTTTTTTTTTGGGTGGAGGTTGTTTGATGTGTGGTTTTGGGTTTTTCTGCAGCATAGAAGTAATCCAGTTCTTCCAAGTAATGGGATCCTGCACGTGCAACAATTCTATGTGACCACAGGGCCTGTGCAAGGGACAGCCATTGCCCAGCTAGCAAAGTTAACACAGCTCCTGGATGCTCTGCATGTGGCTCACTGGTGGGCTAGTGCTGAGGAGGAGGTGCCAGCACAGCCCCAGCACCACCCCTCAGCACAGCTGAGGGAAGAGTCAAAAGCAAAAAATGCCTATTGTTTCAAAAAGGAAGTGAGCCTTTTCCCCTTAAATGCTGGGAAATTGAGACCTCATCACTGCTGAGGGAAAAAAAAAAACCAATCCGCTCTTCGAAGTGAAAGGGAAATACCACCTGAGCTGTACTGCCAGCAGCGTTAGAGAATGTGCTTCAGTAACAGGACTAAAGGGAGACTTTTTTGTAAAGGAAGGAAGGAAAATGAGGGAGTGCAAGGACTGAATGGGAGAGGCAGCCTTTCATTTCTAGGTCATGAGTTCAACTCCAGCTCACTAGTCACTGCTGCCTAATGATTCTTCAAAAGCTGATGATCATCTCTTAGCCTGTTACTTGGAGCCCACAGCCCCATCATGGAACCTGTCCTGCATGGCACAGGATTTAATCATTGGCACAGCTAGAAAAGAGTTACTTGGCAGGCTCTGTGGGTCCTCTATGGGATGCTGAAAAATCTTTTTGGGGATGCATGTGCATCCTGCTCTTGTGCTCAGGGCTAAGCAGACTGGTAGGAATGAAGGTGGTTGACTTTGGTCTTCCTTTGCAGGGCAGCTGTGCAAAATCCCTGCTACTCCAGCAACCCAAGTCATTGGTGCTGCCCTTTGTTTTTGGTGCTCTTTTCCCATGGCACACTACAGTTGGAAAGTATTGGCCTTACAAACTGAAATCTAGAGGGTGTTGCATGTCTTGTGGTGGATGGGAGTGGGGGGAGGAAAAGGTACTCTGAGCATCTCTGGATTGTTCACCTTGTGCTTCTCCCTGGGACTGCCACCCTGCAAAACCCTGTCAGCACCACCCACCATGGATGGGTACTCTGTGCACATGAACCTTGCAGCAGCTCTGGGGACAAGCAGAGTGCTGCCATGGCTCCAGTGATGCTACCCTTTGTAACAGAATGGCAGACTGAGACAAGCAAAGCTTTGGCTCCAGTTGTGTCAGTCACTGTGCACATGTTTAACAGAGATTCTCCCCATGCAAGTAGCCTACAAAGCATGGACATTTTGGGAAGATAGGTGGGCACAGACCAGAAGAGAGGAGAGCAGCACAGGGCAGTACTGTATGGTAGAGTTCTCTACTGCCACTAGCAGCACTCATCCTACTGCCAATCTGGCTTCTTCCCATTAGCTAGATGCATCAGAAGACCATGTGCTATGATACTTGAGCCAATGGGTTTGAGGCCATGGACTGCCTCAGTGATTTAACAGAGCTTAACAGGGCTCATGCTGAAGGAGCTTGCCAGTGAAACATGCCTTTGAGCCACAGGTGTAGATGCAAAAAAATTAAAAACACCTGGAGCTGGGTTTCAGTGCTTTGGAACATGAGAATTTGAACACAGACTTTGGCTTTATTTACTAGAAAGGTGAGAGCTTCTGCAAAAGTTGGGTCTGGCCACGACTGGGAATGCCTAGGAGTTATGCCTGGGCAGTTGTTTGAGTGCATCTCTTGCACACAACTTACTTGGGATAAAGAAAGTGCTTTAAAGTAATTTCATGTTAAATACCTGCCCTCCTTCCTCAGGCCAGAAATCTCTGTATTAATGCACTAGGCTGTGCCCTGGCAGCTACTAGTTATTGTGCAACAGGAAAAATACACCTGGACTTAAAACTGCAAGGAAAGGAAGGGGCAGGAGCTGCTGGAATGTTATTCACCTTTGAAGGATTTAAACTTCTCTGCTAGGCTTTGCTAACTGGCAACAGAGAAGTATCCTAGAAAGCAATTTGGAAACAAAGCAAAGCAATGTTCTAGAGACCTAGCTGGGACACATCAATTCCTTTTCCTCACTACTAATTACCTTCTGATATTAGCTAGTTCACTGTTACCACCTCCTCGTTAGAAGGGAAGCAGTCTTACTCTCCAGTTGTACAGGAAATCCAGCAACTTGCCCATGGCAACGCATAATCACAATCAGTTACAGGCTCATATTACAACTCAAGGAACCCTTTTTATCTCTAGTGTGATTACAGAGCCATATAACCCTCTGAGGGGGCTACTAGGCAAGTAGCACAGGTTAACCCAAAACCATATTTGGCCTAGACACGTTGCCAAAGATGCAGGAAGCTATACTGATTCCCAAGCATATACACACAACTCCATTCGCTCCCCTGCTGCTATACCAGTGTCCCAGCCAGCTGCCTTCCAGTACCTTATCCCCATGTAGAAGAGGTGTGGAAAAGCAGTCCAGGGGAAAGGAAATAAAAAACAACAGCAAAACTCTTGGCCGAGCTCCCAGAAGCAGCAGTGTCAAACCTGGCTGGCCTCCAGCACAAGTAAATGCATCTTACCAACCTTAGTGCCACACGTTCAGCACTCTGAAGTGCTTCACACCTCCTTTCAGAAGCCTCCGCACAGCACTGTAACTGACCCCCTGCAGCACGATCCCTCCAGCACAGGGAGGAGACCATCTTCCCTGTTTCTCTTTGAGGCCCTGGTATTGTTATACAAAGCGCTTACAAGCCAAGTCCTCAACCAGAACTAGCCGACACAATTCTGGTAGGGGCTCTGGTAATAAGCTAATTTATAGCAGCTAAAGGGCTGACTCACTTTTTTTTTCTGTAATTGCACAGATGAGCTTTATTTGCACCATTCTGGTGTTCATTGAAATAGGCTTGAAAGACCTGAGGTTTTCTTTTTCTATGTTTCTTTCAAGATTTATAGCAGAAAAAACCTGCTTGTTGGAAGCCTCACGGTTTAGATCCCATAACCCAGTTAACAGAGAAGAAGAGACTGTTCTGTCAGTGAGGTGCAGCAAGAAAAACTCGAGTTTCAGGTCGCTGCCTTAATCATGGGAGATCTCTGCTGTAGCACAGGTGACCTCAGTGACCACGAGAAAGCATCACTGAATGGATGAGGATGAGGTGCCTAAGTGTTTTGCAAAATATTGCTGTCCTCTTCATCTATTCTGGACTTGCGGTAGGGGGATGATAACATTTTGCATCATTGTGAAGGGTTGGGAGGTTAAATCAGAAATGCTCAAAGACTATGATTACCAGGATCTGCCAATGATGAGATGAGTGGTTTGCAGCCTAGAACGGATAAATAAGAAACCCTTGTGAAACTATGCAATGTCGCTAGTGACCACAGGATGAGGAGAGCAAGGGACTGCCTTGTCCAGAGTGCAGACCTTTCTCAGCTTGGAGTTTCTGGTATTGAGTGAACCCTCGTGTAGAGGGTCAGAGATTTCATCTCATTTTTCAGTTTTTCTACACCAGCCAAACCTTCTGGTATGCATTGTAGCTTTTGTAGTCATAAAAGATATGAATTTAAGCATCTGACATCTCCTTCTGTAAGTAGCAAGACCTCATTTTAATATGCTGCCTCCTGATTTCAAACAAAGAAATATTTGTGTAGGCCAGGGTGGAACCAGTTAAGCAAGAAAAAAGGGGACAGATTGAAAGACTGTAGGAGAATCTCCAGTCAAAGGAAAGCATGGCATGGTTAATAACTGAAGGCAGTTGGAGGCTGTGGGAAGGAATTACCATTGCATCTAGTAATTCCTGGCAAGAGTGATAGCTGTACTATTTCTCCTTAAAAAGAAAGTGCAGCATTGCAACTGTTCTCCTCTTGAGCCTCAGTGGGTTTGTTGTGCCATCTGGGGTGGTGATGCCATCAGAAGAGCCTCTTACCCTTTTATTTTTCATGCAGATATGATGCTTTGCTTCACTCTGCCAAAGGTGTTTGCAACTGAGCAGGTAGATCCTCTTTATTCCAAATCAGTAATGACTCAGCTCCACCTCGTCCCAAGACCTGGCACCAAGCTCCCTCTCATAGGTGGCATTTTGCTGTGCATGAGGCTGCAAATCAGGCTCCCCCCTCCCAGCAATGTACTGGTATTGCACTGTCCCAATTGGTCTGGCATTTACTGTCCCAGATGTGGCTCTTTACAGTGGACAGATGCCTGTGAATCCTGACAATGGAGGCAGGTGCAAATTCCGCATATGATAAACAAGATCTTCTGTAAGGTGTTAGAAGCGCTATGCCTAAATGCCACAAAAAAACCCCATCAGATGGCATGATTTATCACTGACAACACCTTATGAAAATCCAGTGTAAAATACTAAATTTGTGGCTTCCTATGAACAGCAAAGGGCATGTTTCAGTGGCATCCCAAGAAATTCTCATGATCAAATAGAAGGAATTTAAATAAAATAGAAAATGGCCTTAATGAGTAAAAATTTCCATTGTCTGTGGACATTGCAGAAAGCAAACTGGAGGAAAGAAGTATGAAAAATGGGTTATTTCTGAAATGGAGAATTTTCTGGGTTACTCTGAAGGAGGGCTGTACAGCAGACCTCGTCCTGCTCTACCACCAGCGGAGGGTCCCCACCTTCTTTGCCTGTTTATGGATGTTTACATTACCATGAGTGAGTTTGCCCAAATTTGATGTCAGGCAGAAGGAAGCAAGTAGGAGAGGGGAACGAAAGGAAATGAAGTGGGAAGTAAGATATCCTGAAAAGAGTATGCATTGTAGCCCTCTGAGGCGCTGTGGGTCAGGCACTAATAAGTGAAAAGGTACCAGAGAAACTGAAGTTTTGGTTCCAAATCCATGTACAGAAGAATTTGAAGCTGAGATTGCAGTTTGCTAAAGGGTGGATGCAGAGCTTTCACACTGGCTCTCATACCAGAAGACTGCATGGTGAAATACATACTAGATTCAGGAAAACAGTAAGAAAACCTGGGGGCAGATCTTCAACTCTTGTAGATCAGCCTTTCATCCAGAGACTGTTCTACCACATTACCATGTGAAATAATTGTGATATGAAAAAAAGTCTTCTTTGTGTGCAAAAAGCTCATGAACAAAGTTCCCATTTCCTTTCTCTTTTTGGAGAAGGTAAGATTTCATTTAAAGAAATTATTTCATAGCTAAAACCATACAGGGAGTGAAAAAGATCTACAGTGTCTCATTTGCTTTTCCTATCAGTTCTTGCTTTCTGTCACCTCTATGTGTGCAGAGAATACTGCAGAGAATATCAGTTTGCAAACTGCTTGTAAAATTCACTTAAGCCTGTTGGAAAGACAAATTTCATTTTATCCTTTTTGTCTGCTGGTTCAGGATACGTTTAATCAGAGGAAATGTTTTAGCCTTAAATTCACATCTATCATGCTGAAAGGGCATATACCTCTCTATGTTTGTACACAGGTAATCACTAAAAGGTTATCTGGCTACATGTGTTATTTTCTACCTATCTACTAAATCAGAACTCAGTGTGCATTTATGACTCCCCTTGAAGGGCTCTGGGGCTATGAAACAAAACACTTCTACTGTAGCAAAGCCTACAAGAAATCTTCATGTAGCTCTAGAAAAACAAATAAGGGCTGTCCCCCTCTACCACCTTAATGTAGAAGTTCTGCATTTCACATCCCTCAGGGGATGCACTAGACCCTAAATTTTGTAGCCTTTTGTGACCTTCTACTTATTTTCATTTAAGCAGGTAAGAAGAGCCCACCTGCTGAGGACAAAGTTGTGTTAACACATATGAAGATATTGAGCAATGAAGGAATTCAAAACCCAGGGTTAATCACAGAGGCTGCAGCTGACACAGCCTGCACAGAAGAGTCTCATGTCCCTGGTGCGAGCCTCCCACCGGCCTGCCAGGGAAATCCGAATGCAGCAGCCGAACCAGCAGATCCAGACTATGCAGATGCCCCAGCAAGCACAGACTATGTAGCCACGCTGCCTGACCTCAGTGCCTTCCAGTCCAAGTGCCGACTTCACAGATTCTCCAAATTCGAATCTGAGGACTCAGGGGTTGAATTACCAAGTGGGGCTAATTCTCCATCAACACCAACCGGTTCAGAGAAGAGCTTTGTGCTTCACAGCAGAGACTCGTTTTGTGACTCAGGGGTGCTTAGCACCTCTTCTTCTCCAGAAATTGACCATTTGGTGATGAGAACATGTAAGGAGGATGCCAGAAAAGTCAGCCACCAAGATCCAGAGAGCAAAAAGCAAGCTGAGTACTACAGCCAGGAGGCAGATGCTGTGCAGGGTCCTACAGCTTCCCTTGAAGACTTAAGTGCCCCTCAGGAAGAAAATTCAGATGAACATTTTGACCAGAGCGAAAGTCAATCTCTGGAAAAGGAACCCACCGCAGAGACAGACCTTCCCAGGGAGAGCACTCTTCACACCCCAGATCCCATAGAAGAGCCAAAGACAATTGCTGACAATTTCCCAGAGAATTTTGGCAGCATGCAAGACCTCCAGATCCATGGCCATCAGCTGAAGAAGTACCCCACAAGCGACAGTCTAGATGAATACATGGATAAATGCTGTAGGCTGAGTGAGGTAAGAAACACCTAAACTGAGTCTTAAAGCTAGGCCTGTCCAAATCTCAGCCAAGGTTCAAGTCCTTTTGTTTGTCACAAACTAGGATGTATGTGAGTTAGAAAATCTCCCCTGAAACTGTTGTAAGCCGCAAATCTTGGTAACTGATTTTTAAGAGCTTTTTTTCCCAGTAGTGAAATTCTTAAGTAATTCACGTATATCGGGTCTGGGTAAGGATGACTAATGGCTCATGGAGATCTGATGTTCTGAAAAGCCCTAGATTAGAGAATGGACTTGATTTTGGTCTTAAAATGAAGATTGTGAAGTTAGTCATTGTCCTCTGATACATGTGACGTGGATCAGAACATAGTTTCTTTTTCAAGGTCAGGTTATTCCTGTTCTGGGAACAGCTGGGCTGCTGTTGGGGCACCAGAATTTGGAGGGAACTTATCTAAGGAGTAGCTAATTTCTGCTCAGGTCTGTCCTGTCCTCTTGAGCCAGCTCTTAATGAGTAATTAAGTGAGCACATGCACCAATTCAAATCTTTGCTGGGCTAGAAATGGAGATTGCATTTTAACTCTGCAGCAGAGGTGTGGTGGGCTCAACTTAAAGACGTAATTTCAGTAGCTTGTTCAACACCAGACTCCTTTCCCCCCTTGCTGTGTACACTGTGCCACAGGCAGAAGGATAAAAGCCCTGCTGCCCCTTCTCCCATAGTGGATGCTGGCAAACACTCACCCCATGCTGCAGACATGCCAACAGATCACCGCTTTGTCTGCTCACTGGTGGCTTCCATGGACCAGCAAAGGCAAGCTATAAGTGGGTAGCCGATTCCTGACAAGGAGACATACCAAAGAGCCCCATGGGCAAAGGGAAAGAAGAAGAGCAGACTAGATGAAGAGAGTCACACAGACTCACCAAAAACATCAAACAGTGCATAACGGGGATTTGTTTTTAGGGTGTTCATTGCGGTAATAGTGATGAATTGAAATGAGAGACTGGTGGAAGGAAGCCAAGTGACAAGTTCTGTGTGCTGTGCATATAATTTTACTATGACCTCTCTGCCTGACTGTAAATCATCAGGCAATGGCCTTCCTGGCCAGCATGCCAAACCCTCCTGAGCAGTGAGGAAGGTCAGAGATGGCCCATCTCTGTTAACATTGGATATTGACACAGTAAAAAGCAACACATGATCCACTTCAGTAGCCTCTTCCTCTCCAGAGCTGTCTCACACACAGCAAAGATAAATGTCTATTTTGCATAGTTCCTAAGGAGTCAGCAGCTTGGCCTTTTGGCAGAGAGTTAAAAAGGACCAGAGCAGGAGAGTTTGGCCACAAAGAAGACTTTTTATAAAGTTACCTAAATTCTCTGTCGTGCTCCAGAGAATGTGCAGCCAGCTTGGTCTTGTCTGACAGCTCGGGCTGCCTGTGAAATTCCTTTAAATCTTTTGTGAAATAGGGATTCAGTTTCCCAAAGGAGAGCATTTAAATAAACAAGAGAATAAATTAGAAAGAAGCTGAAGAGGAAATGAAGCTCTTGGTAGCTTATCTTCCCTCCTTTTTAATATCCTCACTGGCTGAGTGCTAAAGCTCTGTGCCCCAGAGCACTTTTCTTTCTTTGTTTTTTGAGCTGTATAAATACAGCTGTGACCTAGATCCTGGGGAGGGTTGCCCCTCTTGGCAGAGCACCTCCGGGCTGCTGTATCTCAAGGGCAGTGCTCTTCAAACTGCTGGGATGCCAAGTAGCACCCAAGCTAACTGGGGCAAGAAATGCCCATGGCTGCTGCACTGACCTGTGGCTGCAGCTGTGCTGTGTGCCTCTGAGCACAGGGGCAGCCTCCTCCAGCTGCAGAGCCTTCTGTCCTCGCCAGACCTGCACAGGATTGACCTGTCCTCACTGCCATACAACACAGGCAGGACAGAGTGAGACCTGCTAAGAAATGATGCCTGGATGATCACCTGCCCATACAGCTGATGGGTGCATTATGGTTCATCCCAGCTGAGACCCTGCTCCAGGCTTACTCTATGGTTTTCACATTTGCCTGTAACATGTCCAAGACACAACATGGTACGTGGGACATGTTGTCTGGCTTGATGTCATCTCTGGGACTTAGATACCCCTGGAAATGCCATCAGTGTTGTCTGAAAGACAGCAGGCCAGTACAGGGTATTCCCGCTCTGCCACAAAGAACATGGCAAACCAAATTGTTCTATCAAATCTATTCCTGCTGCATTAAATTCATGTTGATAGAGATGCAAGAGTGCTTACATTCTCTTATATTTTGTGCCAGCTGAGAACATTTGATTTTAGGTGACAGCAGCTTTCTCAGTTCTATTGCTGGTTTGGGGAATACAACTTCTGAGTATCAGGAGAGCAGTTGCTTTTCACCCACCCAGCTGACTGGGGCAATGCCAACAGCACCATGCTTAATGGCATACCACAGCAGAGCAAGGATTCAGTCTCTGGATAAGGATGCCCCTTGATGTCCTCCCTGACTGCTGAGGCCACTTCCAAGAGAACAGGAAGGAAAATGTTGAAGAAGAGAGACTAGAAATGACCAAATGTTTTGACCATTTGTATTCATTTGGTGAATGGCTTTGGCTGAAAATATACATGAAATCATTTCAGTCTGGCATTTCTTAAACAAAGCTTTCTGATCTTTTGTTTTGAACTGTCATTATTTTGACATTTGCCTACATTTAGAAAGATGAAAGGAAGTGCAAGCTGTCAAACAACAAGTGAAAGAACTTTGAAGCCTAAATAAAAGCATTTCCTTTTAAGCCGGATGAAATGTTTGGGGTCAGTTTGAAGAGACATAGCTTTTGATGCTTTTGCTTTGCAAACACTTCCTCACACTCCATTAAGTTTACATTTAAAGTCAGCCCATACCCCTAGAAGAAGAGAGAGGGTGGGAGCATTGACATCATTAAATAAAAAAAACCCACATTATTCACACAGTACTAACTATTATCGTGGGCCAAAGCAGTCAAAATACTTTTCTGCAGAGAGTGGTACAGTTCAGAGGGAGCATAGGGCAACCTGTGATGGTCAGCCCCATAGCGTGTGTGTGCTGCTTAGAGGAAACCAGAAGCTATCAGCAAGCACAGTCCCTCCTGGACAGCAGGGTGGAGCCGCCAGAAATACACAGCCCGATCCCTCTCTTTCCTGTTATTCACAACCCGTTTGGTGTTGTCAGCTTCCAGGGACAAATGCTCAGCCTGTGGCATCACTAATCAGTTGCCCTAAGCCCACGATGGGCAATTTGTAATTATGTTCCTTAGCTGTCAGTGCAGTGACCACATTGCCTCCATATTTGGCCATGCGAATGTGGTGGGAGTGGGCAGTGAGGGATTTATGGGAGGTTGGAACCGGGTACAACTCTATCCACAAAAGAAAGTGAAGAGCATTGCGTGAAGCACAGAAACCTCAGTCACTGCAAAACCCAGCAGCAAACTGTTGGCTGAATGACAAAGAGCTTCACCTGTAAGCCAGTTCTGCCTGTCAGCTTCAGCTCCTGCTACCATGTCCAGCTCAGGACAGTTTTCCACGGAGCCCAGTGGAAGAAAGGCCTATCGCACGCATCAAAGTAACAGATAACATTAACATTTCAGGATAAAATGCTGATTAGATGATCTGAAAAGCAGATTTTGATTATAACTCAATTGGACAAGAGTCTTGAAAACAAGTCTTTCTTGCAGCTCCCACTGAACTTCAAACCTTTGTAGTGCTCAGATGCTCAGTGAGCATGATGTTACACATACACAGAGGGACAGGCTCCCACCTCTGTGATTCTGGTGGCTTCAAAGGAAAACTGTGATTTTACATTAGTGAAAATATTGACTGAAAGTCTCTAGATAAGCCGAAGTTCCCTGTGCAGATGCCAGTCTTGTGAGCCAGCAGAACTGTGATGGTTTATTGCCAGCTGAGCAGGGACACATGTACTGCAAACCTGACTCCAAAACTTTGCCAGGGAAGCAATAACAAGGGCAGAAATCTCTCTTTAGTTACATGTGTGTAAAGTCAGCATAGTGCACCTAACTCCACACGGTCAAAACTGCCATGGAATAAACTCAATGCAGTATAGCTGAGAGCCTTGGATTCCTTTTCTTCCAGCTAAGAATCTGGCTCAGTCTGATGTACCTGGAAGCAAAATCTGTCACCTATCTATACATTACTTTTCTAGCGCAGCTTTAGCCATCTGATTCATAAATTGTGTCTGTCTGATCTCTGCATATTCAGCTTCAAAAAAGTAGGTGAGATGTTTTTCCCTGCTCTTAGGTTTCATAAACTCAAAAATGGGCTCATGGCTTTTGTTCAAATACTGTTTGACAATCCGCATGTGGGGGATGTGAAAAATTTCAGTCCAGTTAGGTGAATGTTTTGGGAAGCTTTAACCGGGAGTACAGAGATTGGAAGAGACATCCTGGAGGATGTTTGCAGTTTTTCTGTGTTTGCTCACCCTCCACTGCTAGCATAAAACTGTCTCACAGGTGCTGGGAGGAAAATACTTAGACCAGAATGTGACAGCACGGGTTCTATGCTGTACTTGGCATGACTAGAAGATGCTTCTGAAGCTGGGCACCCCCAAATCCTCATCTGCTTTCAGATACGTTGGTTACAAGTGCTTTGATTCAAGAGTTTCCCAGCAAATGCCACGAGGGCTTTGTTCTCCCTGAGGGTCCTGGGGCTGTGCCCCTTCCTACCACACAGACAGGCTAAGGACTCAGTTTCATGGCTGAGAAACCTTTGTCTTGTTACCACTTCTGCAGGCTCTGCCTGAGAGGAAAATAAAAATCATGACTGTAAATGACTGGTTGGCTTGTATTCATCACAGTTTTTCATATGATTTCATGTGACCTCTGTCCCAACCTCAGACACAAAAGCATTTGGACATAATAATACCTGTTTATAAATAACATTGTATCATCATTTGTTTAAAAAGAAGTAAATCCTAATGTTGATTATTTTTGAACACACCATGAGCTTTCTGACATAATGAAAAGACAGGAAGAGTCCCAAGGCTGGCATTTCCCCAAAAATGTAGATTGTGGTGGGAAAGGAGACAGAGTAAGCTTCCTGCTTTTGTGGAGGGAACTTTTTTTAAGTAAGATAAACTTAGAGCACTGCTTTTGTAAAGATCGAGGCTTATTTTACTTACTTATATCACATGCACATCAGCAGGCAGGGCCAAGGTGGAAGTGAGCCTCTGTACAGATTTGCTAGCAGCACGTTCAGCAGAGTCCACTTGCGGCACAGGAGAGGATACTTGTTGTGCATGGGGAAGTCCTGGGGCCAGAAATGGTGAGGTGCAGAGCAGGGGGCTGGGAAGCACCGTTGCCTTTCTTCTGCCACAGGATTACTGCCTGTCTCCAGCAGCACCCTTGGCTGAGCAGCAGTGAAACTCTGCAGGCCCTTGGTGTGGAGAGGTCAATGGTACAGAATATCCCACCATATCCAGACAGCAAGCTTGATCCTGAAGATTTTCTTCAGGCATCTCTTAATGATTGAGAAAGTAGCAGCAGAAACGTAATCTGGGATCTGCTAAAGACCAGTGGAAAGATGTTCTTTCACCTTGGCAGCGTGGTTCAGGCACATTTCCCTCTCACTGACCCAGTAGTGACGAGGGTCTGAGTTCAGCTGTGTTGTAAAGATTGCAAATTGCCAAAGGCAGACCAACCCAAGTTGGTCACAAAGAATCAAATCATTGCAACCTGCAGACATGTGCCTTTGGATAGGGGCCAAGCTCAGCTTCACTACACATTAAGTGTGAGTTGTGCTGGGGGCTATGGCTAAGTAAGCCATACTAACCCCAGCCATACCATACAGTAGAACTATATTTGTTTGTGAGGGTCCTGTGGCAAGTAAAAGACAAAAATAACCCTGGTGAAACAGAAACTGGTTGACATGAGGTGGTCCTCTGTGTCAGCCTGTGATCAGTCAGATGAGTTCCTCTGATGGCACATAGAATCATAGAATCGTTAGGGTTGCTAAGAAATTCATAAAAGAGCTGTGCGCAAGCAATGCTGTAGTTCAGACCTACCCATAAGCAAAGCCCCTTGCAAGAGGAAGCATGAGTGTCTTCACTGTAGCCCACACAACTGTAAGGACTGTTCTGGGCTCCCAGCTGCTAGCAAGAATTGCTCTGCTGTTACTCCATGATCCAAGACGCGTTATTATTGCAGATGAACCAGGGTAACAGCAAAGCCCTAGGATCTGGTCTGGGATACCTGGAACACATTTGTCAACTGATTGAGAAGATTGGGCAGCTGCAGGAGCACAACATGCGTCTCCAAAAGCAAGTGTGCAGCTTGCAGAAAGAACAGAAGATCAGCCAGATAAAAGAGGTAAGCAGACACCATAGTATCTTCAATTAAATTATATACTCAAGGCCCAGGTCCACATTTAAAGTTCCAAGTCTGTGTAAGAGAAGATGCTGATCTACTTGACCACATACTCACCTGGGCTGGGTGCTCTGGTCTTCCAGAAGCCTTCACCCACCATAGTGGGCTCACCTTCCCTTAGGGTGGGCTTGGGTTTCTGTTCTTGTTCAATTTTGTTTCCCAGGTGTGCTTGCTTCTGTTGAGTTAAAAAGTGTCCTAACATCGTGCGATGGCCAGCTCAGAGTCAGTAGCTTTTACTTCTCTACAGTTGTAAACTTCTCAATAACATATCTCCCCGTCAATGCTACCAAAACAAAATCCATGATCCTCCTTAGCAATTGTGTTTTGAATTAAAAGCTCTTTCTTTTCCTTCTGCTTTCAAACTGTCAAAATCACAGAATTTCCCACAAAACAGATACAATGGGAAAGAGAAGCAGTGGTACTACTACCCAACTCCATACTCTCTCTTCCTGCACTTCTGAGCTGCCAAATGAAGAATCTCTGACATGAAACATCTTAGTGCCCCCATTTGTCTTTTTTATCATCCAGAGCTAGCTAGGGAATTTGACTGAAATGTGCAGATTATTTCAGCATCCTAAACAACATTTTTGAGCCTCTGCATATTTCGTTCAGCTCTGTCCCATCTCTGCTTCTTAGTTCTTTATTTTGGCCATCACACCAGGTTTCCAGCTTTTTTCCTCCCCTCCCTTTCTATTTATTTTATCACTCCCAAAAGAACAGAAGGGGTCTATCACACTCAGCTATTTCTTCCTAGCCATGCTGTGGCAAATCTTTTATTCTCCTGACAGTGTCATTCCTCCCCTAGTGCCACCTGCTGGGACTGGATCTGCAGTAGATGACTGACTCCTCTTCAGAGCCAAAGAAAAGTTGAGTCAGGTTGCAGAATAGCCTGTCATTTCCATGTACCCATCTCTTATGCTCAGAGGAATGCAGTCTCCTACATAGAGCCTGGGAATTGTTAACGCATTTCCTGAAGCTTTACAACTGTGGGTCATTGCTCAAAGTAGCTCTTCCAAGCTGCAAATTCAGGGTCAAATCCTCATCTGGCATATACACCCCGTCCTTCCCAGTTCCTACTGAAATGAAAGGCACCGTGCTTTCATTTACATATTTTGAAACATGGGTCTTCTTGGTATTTTCCAAGATGTCTCAGCTATGCCTTCTCAGCCGTATTTGTCCCCTACTGTTTAGTGAGGAATTGGACATCTAGATGTCCAACTGCATTTGCACCATGCTCTGCATGGGTGTTCTCTCTCGGGTATCTCTGTGGTTCCTGTATCTCCTATATCATGATGGAGCTCCTATAAATGGTGGAGCAGCTCTCCATCATTTTCCTCTTCAGAGTCACAGCCCCTCTTTGTAGAAGAGGAGCACTATACTATACCCATTTGCCATGAGATGTGAAGGTTGCTGTCCACATCACATTTTGGAAGGCATCTTAAGGCTGCTTTCCAAACCATATTCAATCTCCATGCAGACTATAAGCATAGAAAGGTTTCCATGCCTCAGACGCATCTGTGGAAGACACAACCCCAAGAGCAGAGATGGGTTGATGTAGTACTATGAGCTGGCCATGAGGACTGTAGGTAGCCAGTGCTCTCAATGGTGTTCTTGAGAGCTGTACAGACATCACCACAGAGACTGATGACATTTTGATCGTGGGTCACAAAGGGAACATAGTTACTCCACATTCTTCAGTTTACCAGGAAATCTTTAATGCTGTGGCCATTAACGCATCTTTCAAGAGACTTTCAAAGCACCTCTCAAAGGTAATGTGAAGTGCCATGCTGCTGTGGTGTGTATCCAGAGGAGATGTTAAAACTGTCAATGGCCTGGGGATCTCCAGAGGTGCTAAGTTGGTGTTGGTCTGTCCTGGTTGCAACACCAATAGTTTGGCTCCCTTTCCACTTCAGCCGGATAAAGCTCTACCTGCTTTGTGCCATGGTAAACTCTTGTGTGACATGGCTGTGCAAGGTAGAAAATCTTCCCTGCCCACCACAACTAGAGCAGAAGTACAGCAGCTGAAGTACCACATACAGTGAATCTGACTGGTAATATGAAAGCAAACTATGGCATCCCATCAATAAAAATACAAGATATTGTCTGTGCATATTCCAAAACAAATAGTGCTGTCTTAAAATGAGAGTCATTATTGTAACAGATCTGTTTATTTACACAAATGCCTTAGCTGAGCAGCCCTGTGTTTAGAAATTTGTATTCAATTCCTTCTGGGAAACAAGCGCAAAAGGTGCTGAGTTAATGTAAGTTAAACACCAATGAGCCCATGAAAAATTCTATGTTGCCTGCTCCAGGCTGCTTAGCCTTTTGTAGAATTAAATAGTTTGTCTGGGTTCTGATGGTTCTAGGAAAACACTGGGCATCCTTCACTGTAATGACTGCAATTTCTCTGTACCATCACACCACCCAGTTACCTTGGGCCATTGCAGCCTGAGAGTCTGCATGCTTTCTTTTTGTCCGGTGTAGGAGTACATTCTTCAGCATTGCTCCTGTGGAGCTGCCAGTGTCCTCAACTCACACCAAGATGTGAAGACATCTTTTGCTGGGAGAAGCAGACCTCACAGCCTTTTAGTTCAGACTGGAAACCCATCTGATCTTTCCATCATCCCAGAAATAGGAGCAAACACTGAAAGGCTGAGCAGCTGCAATGGTGAGTTCAAATGCCTCAAACCTGTCCTCCTCCTTGCCACCAGTTGGTGAAATAAGCTGACCAGCAACTTCCTTTTCCCTAGGAAAGACAGATGAGAACAGAGCAAGTTGTTAAAGGAGCTAAACTTTAGCTGGAAATCTAAGAAACGCAATTTAAAATCTACTCCTAGGATTTTAACACTTGCTGCTTCACATGTGTGAAGCAAGGCTCTTTGCTCTGCAGCTGTGGCAACAAAGATTAGGACAAATGTGTTATAAAATGGGTCTCTCTTTTGGAAACTTAGCATGCTTGAATGGGTTTGTTAGTGGAGTCCCTCCATTTGGCTTTAAAACACCACTAGCCAAGGTAGAATATGATCCAAGATGGAAAGCCTTATGCCTTTAGTCTCATACCCTCTCAAGCAGGCACAGAACACATTCCTGGAGGATGACTTATTCTATATAGACCAAGTGGAAATAAGCCCCAGCTGCAAAGCTTGGATCCAGAGAACAACTTTTCCTGAAGGCTTAGAAAGACTGGGCTCAGCCTCCTGATGATAAAGCCAGCTGAAAAGTCTGGATCCAGTGTTAGATGTGAGCCAGCCCACTAAGCAAGGCTGATTAGTTTATTTCAAACCTTGGACTTAAGCCTGCCTCTAATACCTGGTGAAATGCAGAACATCAACACACCTCCTAGCAGAGTTGAGTCAGAGTGTAAATGGCCTTTGGGATCTCTAGTGCTGAGCAATTTCAGAGCTCTTTCCTGGCAGTTTCAGAGCAGTTCTGGAAGGAAAATAAGACCATGTGGAAGCAATTAGAAAGTCCTGTTGTGGTCAGACACTTTTTTGGAGCATTTATCTTCTTTCCACTGCAGCTTTGCATGAAAGCAAATGGGTTCTCATCCCATCTGGAGTTGCAGCTTGCTAGCAGCATTGCCCAGAGGCTGTCCTAACAGGACATTGATGAGAAACATGAGCAAATCCTTCCATTTCATTGCAGGAGGTGAGAGATACCCAGAATTAGGAAACAGCCAACTGATGGTGGGACTCAGGAAGCTGTCAAACAGTCGGAACAACAAGGAGAATGAGTACAGAGAAGCTGGTAGTATGACTGAAGTTCAGGCTTTTCCATCAAAGGACCCTGCAGTAAGAAAGGTGAGTGATAAGCTTGGAGTCAGACTCCAAGTGGGATCTGTAGGAGAAGCAGGGAGAAGTTTGCTCAGGCAGATCAGAATGGGGTGCCATGAGAACAAGCCAACCCTGTCTGGTAGGGAATGGTGCTGGGGCACTGAGGGCCAGGCTGCTCTCTGCCTCTCTGCTCCCAGCCTTAAAGGAAGGCAATGAATATGTCTTTATGCTGAGAAAGGCACAAGCAGAGCACTGGTGCAGGGGAGTGGAGCACTGCAGACATCAGCATGGGCTTTAGCTCTCACTACAGATAATGCATGAACTCTGCCATAAGTATCTTCACTACTGCTGCTACCCAGATTAAACCAACTACGCATTCATTACCACATATAAAAAAAATCTAGTAGGTCAAATCTTCATTGGCGACACTTAGTACCGGACTAGCAGCATATCAGTATAATTAGCTCCAGTCCCCAAAGCATGTTTCAGACAGCCAGGACGAATGATTTTCTTCTCCCTTTCTTTCCCGTTGTTTGTGGCTGCCTCAGCATTTTCAGGTTCCGGTGGGAATCAGAACTGCTGAAATGCCAGGGCAGAGGCTCTAATCACAGTATTCCCAGCCCGACAGGAAAGAGGAAGGAGGAGGGCTCTCACGGGAAAGACCTCATGAAATTTCCACCCCAAAGTTGCAAATAAGTTGCAAACGTTTTGATGAAACATGTCACAACCAAATCAAGGCCGAATCCTAGAATGTGCTCTATGTTCTGCCTTGTGTCCAGTCAACTTCTGGAGTGCAAACATTATATTAAGCAAATAGGAAGCCCTGATGATTTCACAGAACTGCAGAATCAAGATCCATCTTTAAACTAAATCCTCATGCTCTTTTTGTTACAACACACCTTAGTATTGTCACTTAGTGCTGCATTTTGTACCCTGAGCATTAAATGCCCCATTTACTTCTAAAGTGAGGTACTGCGTGGGAATCCTGCTGCACAAGTCTGGCACTACTGGGTGCTATACACATGAACTGGCAGTCTAAATACAAAAGAGAGGTAAGAGGTGGAGAAGGAAAGAAGGGATTATCGCACATGTGAGGGACTGAACTGTAAAGAGATAAAGGACTTCACAGAGGCTATGGGTGGACTCCAGACCAGAGCTGAGAATAGAGCCACTCTGTTCCCAGCACTGTTGAGATGGTCCCTCTGTCTTATTTATCAGTATTATTTGCCTTTTGTTTTTAGGGTCTAGACGTCAGCAAAAACATCTCGGTATGTACTGCCTTTCCAGAATATATTTAACTAGTACCTGCATTAGCATGGACTAAACCCCTGTATAGTGCATGATATTATACATGAATAAAAAAAGGTTCACTCACTCCCAATGTTTACTATCAAAGCAAGAGACAGACATATATGTTGACTTACTTGCATGTGTTCTGCTGTCCTCCCACCCCCGCTGCAGACAACAGCTAGCTAGCCTTCAGGAACAGGCAACTGCTCAGGCTGTCACATGAACAGTGCTTGCTTTTCTGGGATACCACCAGCACAATAAGGGACTAACTGCTGAGATCTCCAAAACCCTTCCACGGCATACATTAATCCTAGTAGTAAACACAAAGGTTTGATATTTCCATGCGTAAACAGTCTCACTTACAGGCAATTAACTCAATAGCACAGAAACCAGTGTTGCAGTTTTCAGCTTGTGCTCCCAAGGTGGCCACAACCCATGGAGTAATGGCTCTGCTGGTGGCACAGTGGGAAGGCACCTCGAGACCTGGCAGAACAAAGCCCCAAATGTGACAATGGTTTCAGAACGTCATTAAATGGAACCATTTCTTCCCACTGCACGAGTCTTGGGGCATGATCCTTTTTATTCTGTTCCCAAGGTTTTCCAGCCATTAGTTTAGGAAATTTAAAACAATGTAGCAAAAAAAAAAAAAACAACAACCAAAAACAACCCCAAAAATCCCAGCAACCCATTAATTTTTTTGGTGCATGGCTCCTTTACAGTTCAAGAGTCCAGATGAGCTCACAGCCCGAAGAGAATAAACATTAGGGAAGGCCTCATGGGACTCCCTGACCTCCTGATAATCTCTATTAGCATTTCAAATGTAAGTGCCCAAGAGCTGCAGCTTGCAGACCTGACAGGAAAACAAAGGCTTGATCTCTTCTAATTCATGGTCCACAGAAGTCATCACCTTGAAAAGGGATGATACCAATGCACCTGGCCTAATAGAAAGGGGAATGGAGTCAAGCTGCTTTTTTGTGTTGTTTTTGTTGTAAAGCCCCCCTGGGTGCATACGAGTAGGTAGGAAACCAAACCTTTAGCACAGTATAACAATAAGGTAAAACGTGCCATTCAGCAGCTACTCACTCCCTAGTGAAGCGCCTTCACTCTCTGAAACCTTGGGTCAGAAAGGAGTGTCCTAGTAACAGAACAGAGTTTGGTGACAAAACAGAAGAAGAATGGTATTAGTGACAGTTGATCCATCCTGTCTCATTGTGTCCCATACAAGTACAGGCTGGCCACTAGGCATCATTGCAGGGTGGGTGCGTGTGGGGGGTGTCCTGGTACCTGACTCTTATCTGTCTGAAATAAGGAATCTCCCCTCTTCCTACCACCCTGGAGTACCCTGAAGTATCATATGTTGGCCAGATGAGGTCTGCCAGCAGCTAGCCTTTGGTGCTTCCAAGTTGTGACTTCTTTTTGCTCCCTAGGCTGAGAGCCATGCTTGGGGGAGAATGAAAGATCTTATGAGGAAGACACGTCTGAGAAACCAGAACAAGCTGGGTCTGTCCTCTGCCGCTCTGAAGAGGTCTTGTCCACAGCTGTACAGGTAAGGCAGAGCTGTGGGAGATTTTCAGTTAGTCTTTGGGAGGAGGTGATGTAAGATTTACTTCTGGTTGCTGCTGGCTGGAGAAGATCTCTCCTTACATTCCCTCCATTGCATGTAGTGATCCTTGCCATTTGCCTCCTTAGTGCCTCAGGTGCTCTAAGATCCTAACTGGATAATGTTACCTGTGTGAAAATAATGGAAATGTTAGAGTCCCTAAAAGAAGATACATATTCCCAACAGGGCAAGGGCATGTTGACAACTAGTCAGAGCTTGCTCCTAAGCATTACAGTCAAGGTTAATGCTGTCCTCTATCCACCTTCACACTTTTCATCTAGTGGAACTGTAACCCGTCTTGCATCTGATGTGTGATGGGATGGGACAGTCAGGATTAGCTGGAAGGTTTCCTGTCAGAAGATGACGTGAAGGTTGCTGAGTATGTGCTTATGGGTGGGATGTGCTTGTTGCTGGAGATGAACGTTTGGGTCAAGCAAGGTTTAATTTCTATTAAGACATCTGTGCGGGTCCTTTGAGCAAGTTTGTCTACCAGGCTAGTTACAGCCTGGCTTCTGAGCTATGCTATGCAGTGCATGTCTCTCTGAGTTAATGAGAGTGCTGCCAGCTACCCCTTGCACAGATATTCCCTGTGCGTTTGCCAAGATCTCCCAGCTGGTCTGGTGAATTTGGGTTGTTTGTGTACATAATCAGGTAGCAGGAAGAGACTGGGTATCTTACTCACCAAAGCAGGAGCATTACATGGAGCTGCGTACCTCCCTGTGTTTTTTCAGCTGAGGTCTCAGTAACCTTATGTGAAACAGCTCAAATGTGCTTAAGCCCTCCTCAGATTTTAGAGGGGGTGGTGATGGGGGAACAGCAGTTGTTTAAGCACTCTGGAATGTCCCATTGTTCCCCTTAGCCTGTACCTACCTTAAAAAACGCGTAAGGGAACTGGGAATCTCAAAATTACATCTGGAAAAAAAATCCGCTGTAGTTCATGGAGTGACTTTTCCAGCTGGGAAAAGCTTGCTTGGAGCCCAAGCACACGTAACAGGCAAGCTTCCTCCTATTGTTTGGGAAACTGAAAGAAACACAAAGCAGAAAGAGATCAAACAGTTCCATCTAAAATAGATGGTGAACCAGCTGGGGTAAAAATGTAAAGTCTTGGGAACCTTCCCTCTAAACCTGAATAGAACCAGGATTTTATTTGGGTTTCAGAAAAGTCATGTCTCTTATGATCTCCCATTTGTCCCTTTCCCTGCAGCACTGAGGACACTGTGAGAATTGCAGGCTAGGTCCTTGGCTTCATAGCTCCTAACAGAAACAGCTTTTGCTACTTCCACATATGTATTGGACAGCTACTAATGCCATGGAAATGCTGTACAACAAGATGCCAAGTTGATGATTTTTTTCACCTGACTGTAACTGGACAGCCCCAGATATCTCATACACTAATTTTTCCAGGCTGCTTTCCATAGCTGATGAATGGCCTTCTCTTTTCTTTCACTAACTTTCTTCTCTCATATATCTACATAAAACCCTTGCCTCTACTCATGCCCTTCACTGCCTGTTCTCCTGCTTCCTGCCTTTTATTCCCCAGCCGTACCTGCATTTGGTCTTGCCCTTTTTACCCCACACCCTGCAAAAGCAATGCACACTGGGCTTTTCACCAGTGCCTGAAAAAGCTGGGCACCTTGCTTCTATGGCATTTTGGATACGTAGTGGCCCTCAGCTCCTTTGAAATAAAAAGTTAGGTTTAGGGTTAGTGACAGGGCTTCAAATGCTGCTGGAGAAAAAGCGAAGCCCTTCCTGCGGCAGAATGGCAAAGCAAGAAAGTCTTGCTTGTCTACAGCTCTTGACAAAGCAAACATTGAAGCCCTGATACTCTCAGCATTTAAAGCCACTGTCTTTGTTTTAATTTATGAAACATGTTTGTCCTGGCTCTGGTTCTGTTTGTACATGCAGGCGTATGGAATTGGCTGGCTTTTGCTTACCCGGGCTTCCTTGGTCACAGAGACATCTCCCAAGGTGTTGCACTTGAAACAGGTTGGAGCCTAGTGCCCGGTATTAACATGCAGCTCTGAAGGAAGCAGAGAGGTGCCTTCCAACCCAAACTATTCTATGATTCTCTTTGTTGCTTTTAACACCCATTCATTTGGGCAATTAGGGAAAGTCTCTTTGTTTTTGTTTTTATAACTAGGTCAAAGCAAATCCCTTTTCATGCTCCCACTCTGCTATGATGAATGATCTGCTCAGGGCAGTTGTTTTGGTTTTCTTTTCTTTTTCTTTTTTTTTTCTTCAAACATCCACGAAAGAATTCTCAGAGTAGAGAGAACTTTGTTCTTCCAGCACAAGAGAGGGGGGCCTGCCAAGGTAAACATACTGGCACAAGACTTGGTGGTTTGTCATACATTGTTCTAAACAGGCTCCGGTTTTCATTTCATTTTTCTCTTCCTGCTGGTACATTTACTCCTGCAAAGCAAAATTTTGTGCAGAGGGCCAGAAGAGGCTGATGAGCGACTTGATTATAGTGTCACGAACTTAAGCAGCACATGGGCCTGGATCTGACCTAAGGTGGGGAAAGTAGATTTCTTCCCCAAATTATTGCAGAATGATCCCTCCACAAAGAGCAAGGAATTACTTCTAGCTCAAATGACCACCAAGACAAAAATTTGTTGCCCTTCCACTGTGACTAGTTTGATAATGATAACAGACGATATGGTCAACTACTTGCCCTTGTTAAACAATTACAACCTGATGCTGCTTTGAACAGTTGTCGTGGTTTAAACCCAGTCAGGTCTCAGTAAGCAGAGAATCTAGCCTGATATGTAAAGGGGCTGAAAATTCTGCAGGAGCCAACCTTGATCAAGTTTTTGCCTATATGTTGCCACTCCATCTGACATTATAAAATGTGTGAAGTTGGCTCTGGCTAGAATCGTGTTACAATCCCCAAAACCCAGGGTCAAGGAGGAGCAAATTAACGCTTTTACATGAGTTTTCCTTACTTTCCCTAGCTCGCTTTGAGGACAAACAGAGACATGCAGCCTTCCACTGCTTGCCGTTACTGCTGCTGAGAAGCAGACTGGCCCAGCAGTTGTTCCAGCCCTGGCATAGATACAGAGGCAGCTATCTCAATGAAAGGAATTGTGTTCAGGAGCTTTTCTGACGCTATCCCCAACCCCTTTCCAGGGCGGGGTCTAATTTGGGAAGCTTTGGGCAATCCCATTCTGGCATTCCAGCGCAGACACACCTACATGTGTATCTGTGGGAGTTGCAGTTTTAATGCAAGCTGCGTGGGAATGAGCTAAACTCAAATTATGATATCTTTCATGGTAAGGATGCTAGTTTCAGTTTGACAGCCACCAAAAGCTTGCTGCTGTAGGATGACTACTTTGTGGTTAGGGTAAAGTAAGTTAGGAAGGACAGTGGAGTCCTAATATGACGATTCCCATCTTCATTATTGTATAGCAAAGCCGAAAAGGGCCCTAGAGCCTCATATCTGGGTCCAAACACTGCCCTTCATGTGGGAAATTACTGCCAAGAGATCTCTGTGCTCAGGGTTGCAAAGCAGCCAAAGAATTAAAGAATAACATCAAGGCAGACGTTTGACAATTCCACTGAAAAAGAATTAAAAGCTGAACAAGACAAAAATCATGCAACGTTTAGGTCAAAAAGAAAACAGATTTGTAGCTGGCAAAATAAAAAGTCTGCACCACATCAGTCAGGATTTTGAGTTGAAAATTTGTAAAATTAAGGATTTGAAGCAAATAGAAGTTACTGTTATTGTAAATAAATAGCTTTGAAGTATTGTATTAAACCCCCCCACAAAACTATAGCTTTTCTTTCTTAAACAGCAGCTATTTTTAAAATAGTGTTCCAGAAGGTTTGTCTTCCATAGCTCCCAGAGGGCTGAGCTAAGCCATTACAACCAAATAGAATGCATTACACTTATTTCAATCGTATGTAATAAATGATGAACAAAAAAAAAAAAGTTGGAGACAGTCTGCAGCACCTAGCTTACTGTTGCTCTTCAAAATGTCTCATTTCCTACTTACTACTTCAGGCCAGAGTTTTTAACTTCCCTGTGACATTCATCCACCAGTCTCCCCCCTTCGCTTCCAGCTAGGCAGAAAATAGCGGTTGCTGTCAACAAACTGATGCTTGTGTTCATCCATTACATTGTGACTCTGTGCCAAGTGCTGCATTTTGTCACTCTTTTTTTTCCTTTTGTATGCTGCCACAAATATTTGGACAGTGTCTGTTTTGGAATTTCAAACTGGAGAGGGGGAAGCTGCTCTGGGTGCAGCTTGGATGTTAAATACATATGCACAGCATATTAATACTAAAAACACAGCCATGTGTTCTGACTGCTGGGTGTCAATTTTAATTGTATTTTTCCCTTTCTAAGGCCAGATATTATGTCTTCAGAGCTAAGGAAAACTGAGAGGAACTCCATGATCGTTCTGGGACAAAATACAAAGAATGAAAACATATGGCCTTTCTGATAACCTGAGTCAAATGGGATAAGGTAAAATAAGTAAAGCAGCATGTGTTTCTTTGTGGGTTTGAGGGTTTTTTTTTGCCTCTTCTCAGCACAGAAATGAGACAGTCCTGTACCTTCATCCAGACATGCTCCAACATGAAAGGACATGAAAGGACAACATGTCAGATTTTTGAAGTTCAAATTATATGGATTCATGCCAGCTGAGGACTGGCCCATATACCTTCATTTTAATAGTTCTCACTTTGACAAAAAGCAAAACCAAACAACCAAAACCAAACACAAAACACAATTTAAAGGTATCTGTATTCGTACAGGCTACATCATGCAGCCTTTTCGTAAGAAGTGCAGCAGCAAATTCTTATCTGCAGTCGGTTAAAAGACTCCGAAATAATAAGCCAACCAGGTGTCTTGGGAAAGAAATAATTTGCCCATAATCTAAAAGAGAACCAGGCTCAGCCTCATCTTCCATCTTCCCAACTCAGCCCACGGGTTAAATACAGAGAAACTTTTGCTGATCTCTCATATTCACTACATGTTTCTGTTTCAGAAAGGCAAAATGGGAACACCAGTGGACACAAATCCAAGAACCCCAAGGTTACTTTGTGCAACCTGCATCCTGCAGTTGTCAACAGAGCAACTCCGCTTTGATTACTGGAAGGGAAAAAGAGAAGGGGGAGGTAGAGAAAGGTGCGTGGACCTTTCTATGCTCAGCTATGTACAGCTTTGCTCCTGAATCTGAAATACACTCACGAAAGTCAAGCCACAGATGAAAATTGTTGTTAGTGTCTTGGCAACATAAATGATAGAGATACGGAAATTCTTCCTCCTCCTTTCTGGCTTAGAAACACCATTACTGAAACATTGAAGCTTTTAAATTATCATTGCTTTCTGAGGAACTTCTCCAGCTGAAATACATTTAAGCTTTATGGGACACAGCAGCATCTAGAAGGGTGCCAGGGACTCACTGCCCAGTGCAGAAGTGGCTGTTGGAAGGACAGCCTCCTCGCAGGGTGGGCTGAGTGGCAGTCTCTGTGTGTCCCCAACACAGCTCCTCCATTCAGAGCAGCATCTGACCAGCTGTGCCATTTTACTGGAATTTAACAGGAAAACCAAGTCTGTAAAGCCAAGACTTCCTACAAGGCCATTCCTGAATCCACCGCTAGCTTCTAATCCTGCAAGCTCGCTCCTTCTGCAGAGGCCCCTCGAATCTAGTGCTGCCCTGCAGACATTAGAGTGAGGAGCACTGTGGGAATTAGCCTTTAAAGTGACCAGAGGGTTCATCTGAGGCAACACCTCAGTTTCACCAGGCAGCCCAGCTCTTACGCTATCAGGTTTTTTTTGGGGAGGGAACCAGGCTTGAATTCCTACTTCTAAATTACAAGTTAAGTCCTCTAGCTGTGCACGTAGGATAGTCATTTTGCCAAATGGCTCAGCCTATGCTCTCACTGCTGGGAAAAGGCAAGAGGGAGCAAAGAGCTGCAAGGAAGAGTTATTAAAACACATACATTCTTTACAAGCTGCTGGTCTTTAGGGTCCTGTTTACAATTGTGTAACAGTTGTAACAGTGGCCATGTTCGGTAGCTGCCTTACTGCCTCATGTCCACTGATTCCAGACTCAAGAGACAGATAGCACATGCTTCTGAAGGTCCCATGTTTGCAGTGGTCTCTGCAGACCAGCTCTTGCGGGTATTAGCACAATAATTGATGTACATAGAGGAAAGACTTTTCCTTTTGTTAGTAGATCATTCTACTCCCTAAATTACAATGCAAGTGGAAGTCAAGCAATTGCTCTTTGAAAATCCTTCCATAACCCAAGCTTGCCTGGGAACCAAGATTTGAGAAGCTGTCAGGAATTGATCAACTTCAGCAGGCTTGGCCTTTTAGTAACATATGCTTCCTCCTTGCCCACTAGGATCAGGTGGAGCCCTAGGAGTCTGCTAAACCAGAGCAGGATCTCTTCTGAGATTCAAAGCTCCCCCTCTTCCAGGCAGCTGTGGTTCAGGAGTAAAGGCAGCAGCCCAGTCCTGGTTCTTCAAATATCAGAAGGGTTGTTGTGTATCATGTCAAAAACCACCAACAATAAAACAAACAAAAAACCTACCAACCACCCCCTCCCCCCCCCAAAAAAAAAACAACTGAACCACCAAACCCAAAACCACCCACCCAATAAAAACCCCAAAAGGTCTGTGCTGACTCAAAGTTAGCACCCTAAAGTAGGTGCTATGTTTAATATTTTAGTTATAGCTGCTGCAGGACTCTGCTATTCACTGTATATCTTGCTAGCTTCATCCAAAGCTAGAAAGATTTATAACTTGATTATTCTGTGAATAGTCTGTGTATCTCCATAAATACAGGGGCCTAAAATCTTGCATTAACTTACACCCTTCATTATCCCTCCAGCTTTACAGAGTCTGTAAGGAATGTGAATCAGTGCAAACTGAATTTGAAGTGTTTTAAGATGTAGCATCATGAACTGCTATTTCCAGCCACCACCATTCACATTATAAATTTATTGTATTTTTTTTACTAAAATGAATTAGCACTCTTTTTTACTATAGTATTATATGAAACATATTCATGTATTTTCAGAAATATATTTATTAAATGTAACATACTGTATAGTTCTCCATTACAGAATTCATTGTAATACAAGCATAAGAAATTTAATAAAAGCATCACTACAATAATTGTTTTCACATATTTGGCTAATGAACCCCTGGATGTTAGTATAGCAACTGCTACATTTATAGTTTCAGGTGAACACAGGTGGGCAAGAAAGGAACTGTTACTTCCACACATTCAAAGAACTCTAGCTTTGGAAAAGCAACAAGTTTGGTTGGTTGAGGCTGGTGCTGTTTTCAAAGACCCAGACAGCACAGAGAGCCTTTGGAAAGCTCAGGCCACATGTAGATGTTCAGCTTTAGCAGCACTATATTAAGTGCTTCCAAAGCCACAAAGGAGATAGACACAGCAAGGCAGCACACACCACTTTCCAGAGGAAAGGGTGAAGGCTGTGGTGACAAAGTATGCAGATACTCAGCATCAGGGTTTCTTCCCAAAAATCTGGCTTAATTAGCAGCACCACACAACAGGCTCAGCCAAGAGGTGCTGGCTTCAAGGCTGTTTTTCATCAGCTTCTTTCACTCACAGCCCACAACAACATCCTGAACAGGGCAGCTTTCCTTCACCTGCAGGAGCCAAGGCAAATATCTACGCAACCCACACCTTTAGTTCAGCTGTATAACCAAACAGTGTAAAGTGAAGCTAAAGAGGGTGCCGACACAAGTCGCATAGGTTACTCAAAAGAAGGAGAAATCAATGAGACCCAGCTAAAGAAAGTAGAGGCTGGGGGGTGGGGAAGAGACAGAAATGCACCTGTGGAGGTAGGGAAAAAAACAAAACACACACTTTTTCAATTTTATCTCCTGCAGAATTGAGCTATGAAAGCCCCAACATCCTAGTAGAGGAGAACAGGCTAGGAAGATGGAGACAATGCACCAGAGGGTGAAATGTCTGTGTTGCCTAGTTTTCACCCTGTACCAGTGCTTCACACACACACCTCATCCCACTGCTGCTTACATCCTTCCTCTCCTGCTAAGGACCAGATACCAAGCCTTAAGCACAGAATACTTCCTGGATTGGCTTGAGGGAATTAAGTTCACTCCTCTGCTCTCGCCTCCACTTACCTGTGCATGCACCCTGCACTCAGAAGTAGGGCCATTACAGAAAGATCCAGCTCTGCAGCAGAACCTACCTGATCCCCAGAGACTATGTGCCCAGAGCTCCCTCCCTCTTTGGAATGGTTCAGCAGCCCCATGGAGGGCAGCAGGGAGCAGCTGAGCAGGGACTTCGCTCTCCTTCAGTCTCCACACAGACACCTAAGCTCTCTAAGCAAGTATTTTTGTCTGCCTTACAGGGCACGGGAAGGCTCCAGCAGCAGCCAGGAGGGTGTGTAAATCTTGGCTAACACCCTTCTAAAAGCAGTGCCAGAGCACCCTGCCTGATGTACTGGAAAGGGGTGGTCTGTATTACTCTAATTGCCCAGTTAATTAACATTACAGACAGCGGCTAAAGACCTGTCATTAGGAGTTTTACACTCAGCTTCCCCAAACAGATCACCACCTGTACCAAGGCCATTTAGTTGCCAGAGACGCTCCCTAAAGGATGAGTCTGTTTGACCTATACCCAGATGAGGATTTCTCCAGCCTGTGATCTCGTTCACTCTCCCACCGTACAACTTGGAACAGTCTTATCTTCTGATTACATTTTCAAAACAGGCAGGACTTAAAGAGCACTGGTTATCCTGGAAGGAGCAGGGAAGAACAGTTATGCTAGAAAAAACAAAAACATTGTAAGATGATTCCAAAAAATTCTTGCTGGAGTAAGAAAAGAATTAAAAGTAGCTCCCACCACCCGTTAACGCTTTCCAACTGCAGCACTGGCAGTGGCCAATTACATAGAAAAATACCTCAAGCAAGACACTGTTCAGTCCTTTGCTTCCATGTATACAAAAGCTGCTCTTCTACCTTAAAGGCCCCTGAAAGGTATGAATAAGACTGCCCAACTGTCTTTTAACAGGGGGAATTTCTAATATAGCCCAGGGGTAGGGGAAGGGGGCTGACACACTAATAATTTCTAATAACAGGGGCAGAGGAGGGAAGAGAAAATTTTTTTTTCCTTCCCCTCTAAAGTACTTGCTCAAGAACTATTCCATCAGCTCTAAAGGGACCTTAGTGTGGGTGGAAGCACCAGAGCTCCTCCAGCTTGGGCAGGAAGTAGGGTGGTAGACCCCCTTTCCTGCTCCACCATCTGGAGACATTTGCTGGACTGTCTTTGTCCATGACCTCAGGAAGACGAGAATGACCCTGCTCAGCTGCTCTGACTGAAATCACCACACTAAACTGCTCCTGATGCTCAGAACAGGAAGTTTTCTCATCTCAAAACAACATCTGTGGCACTGTTATGCCAACAGTGGTGTCAAATTAGCTTTAAACCAAAATCTTTGAAGACTTCACTGTCTGCTTTCACATTAAAGTTTAAAATTAAACTTCAAGTCAAGTTTGATTTTTTTTCCTGAAGTTCAAACGACCTAGGCCCTTTGATATTTTTTCCAGTTGAAATGAAGCTTCCCTGCTCTTATCCTCCAGAAAGTCCCACCTGCCCTTTTTTGTTTCCAGAGAGAGGTAGGTTCCCATATAGGATCATTAGGAAGGTCCATTTGTGTAGTGCTTTGACATTCCTGCCTCCAAGTCTCAAACCATATGAGCACAACCCTGACTTACCTAGTGAGCTCAGGGACAAGCAGGCAGTTCCCAGCTCCTCTGCACAGTCAGGTACCAGCTCTGCATCCCCAAAGGAGAAGCAGCTGCAAGTTTTGCTTTGGGTTAGTTCTGCTGCACTTCTACACAGCGTTTGAGAGAAGCCAAGACAAGGACGTCAGGAGGCCACCTCAGCCACTGACACAAATGTAGACACCACCCAGCATCACTCCTCTGACTCAGTCTGCAGCTTCCTAGCTGCCCTGGTCATTAAAAAGGCTCCCTCTTAACAGCAGCAGACAGTCAGCGCTAGCCCCAAAGCACAATAAATAGCCAGGAAGTGAGAGTGATTCAGAGAAACAGCATTTGGAAAGTTCTCAGCCATCAGGAAAGTTTTTTGTCTTGCAGGCAGAGGCTTTCAGCCAGGGTCCCCAGGACACACTCCTGTATGTGGCCATGCCCAGGTAGAAGCAGCCCCACAGACCAAGTGGATTTTACAACTGCTTTATTTTATTATTTATTACAACTGCAGTATACTGATTTCATGCATTACAGACCCCTTCCTGCACCACAGCACAGCAGCCACAAACACCATGCACAGAGCTGCCCCAGTTGCTGCAGCAGCAAACCCCAGAGCCCAGGGGGCTGCAGCATTCACATCTGCTCCTGTGGAGGAAAGAGAGGCCTCAGTAAAAACACTCTCCCGGAGAGGCATAGGGATGCCTCAGGGGCTCAGACTTTCTGTGGGAAAGACTTGGAGCAGGACCTTCCCCAAATGGTCATGTTGGGCTGGCACACTTACCAAGGCCATCCTTGGCTGTGTCCCATCTTATCTCATCCTGGAGGAAAATCACAGGGCCTTTGCTGCAGACATGGGAGGCACCATCCTCAAGAGGATGGTCAGCACTCCTTTTATTCCCTACAGAGCAATATGAAGCTTTTACATGAGAAGACACACAGACCTG